CTTGGGATTGCCCCGACCCATGTTCTTCCCTTCAGACAGCCAAACATCTGTCAACAACCCATCTGCACTTTAAGCATTTTGGAGGAAGGCAAGGTTGAATTATGCCCTCTAACTAAAAGAATCTCAAGTCCCCTATGACTGCCATTTCAAGTTTATGATGTTCATAAACAATTTTTTTTTGTTACTTGCAGAGAATATTCTGGACTCTTTTCTGCACGTGTGCCTTGCAATAGGAATAGATAATGCAGCTACGTTAAAGAATTGCTTTGACTCAATATCAGTCTTTTAAACTAAGATACAAAAAGGCAGTACAGAAAATCAGATGTGCGACTGTGAGTAGATTTATTTGATTTACCTCCAACAGATTTTCCAAGTTTAACATCTTTTGGCACAGGCTTATAAAATTCTCAGCTGGCACTAGGTCAATTTTTTCAGTAAGATAAGAGGCAAACCTCCACAAAACCACAAAGAACTGTACGGCACAGAGGCAAATAGCATTTAATTGGACCAGCAAGATGTTTATATTAGTGTTGAGGTTCATAGAGAAGACAACAGAAGATCTGTGTTTAAAATCACAGATAAGGTAAGGTAAAAAGGCTGGCTATTAGAAAAAAAAGAAACAGCAGGGTTTGGTTGTGGTTTGGTTTTGCTTCCAGTCCAAGCACTTGAACAGAAGCAACAGAAATTAGATCAACTAAAGCTCAAAACTGCAAATAAATACGCTTTAGGATCTTGAAAATGTTGTGTTTGGTTTTGAAAGAAATTAAAAATCACTTCTATTCAATCTGCAAAAAGAGTACATCTCAAAGTTCTTCTGATGTAAAAGCGATACTGAGATAAGATGTTGAGTCAGAAGTACAATATAGATTTTGCTTAAGAATTCTGACCTATTTTAAAACACTGTATTTAAGTTGTGGAAAGAAAAAGAAATTTACCTTCCTCCAAGAACTGAATGTCAGAGGTGTCGAGGTTGTGATCCATTTCAAACAGCTGTTTCCCTAGAAATTATAGAAGAAAAAATATATATAAGCCAGTAGAATGCTGAAATAAGTAGCAATCTGAGGCAACAATAGTTAGCACACGCATTTTAGGCTTTTCAAATTAATCAATTTTAGCAGTTTTTGGAGTTGTGTGGGGGTTATTTTTTTTAACTGCACATTTCTCTAAGTTCCCCATTCTGATTTTTTGACTACTCATACAGAATTCTTCCACACCAACAGGCTTCCTCCTCTTATGTGTAAAAAGGGTCACAGTTTCTTACAGTTACTTTAATGTTACTAAGGCTTTAACAAGGAGAGTGGGAAAATTTACACTGTACCGCCCCACAGTGTTTGCTGAGTCCTTATTGCATTAGTCCTCATCTTGCATTCCACAAGAAGTCCTCTGTGGGAGCTGGAAAGGAAATTAGCTGCCTCCTACACCTTTTTTCATATATCCTTCCCTGTTCACAAAGCAACTTGTATCTACACACAAATCACCAGCCCCTGCACAAATGTATCTGTGAAGGAAACATCACGCAAGGCAAAATGAAGCTTTTCTAACTGGGAGGTAGGGGAATAAAAGCTCAGGATGTTTTCCACATAAACTACCCATCTTCCATCTACATTTGCATTGTTTATGCAAGCTTTCGTCAACGGGACTGGTTGGTGTTCATGGTAAAACATTTAATATACCACCTACCAGGGTTACACACATGACATCTGAGAATAAGCCTGGGTTTAGTTTTGTAAAAAGAAGCTCCTGTAAACTAGACTTGTATAGAGAAAAACAGACACAGTATGCTGATGATAATTTCATGAACAGAAATAATAGAAGCAGCGGGATTTCTACTCTTTCATCTTTGCAGACTCCCAAACACATTCCCTTCTGAGGGGAATCAAGTGTGTCCGCTGCCCTGAACAGCTTTTCACAAAACTTACTGCCATTTAGATTTTTCTCTCTCTGTTAAATTTCATCAAAAGTAGCCAAAAGCTTCAAAAGCCTTCAGAATGAAAAAGATAACAGTGATACAGCACAACCACATTGGTTATGTTTTCTCAGGTAATCAGGTTAAGAAGTAGATCCAACCCCCCACGAGAACCAGTCCAAAGCTAAGTCGAGAAGATTGTGGAGGAAGATGCCCAAGATTTAGTTATTACCTACTGGTTCTCATAAGAAAAGTAGGTTTCTCCACATTTTGCTCACTGCACACAGGGTTTGCTTTCTGCTGGACAAACAGTGATCTGCAAAACACAGAGCTCAAAAACACAGCTATGTGTAAAACTCTTCCCCAAAACACCAGAGCCATTCTCACTGGGCATCGTAGGCTCGTCATACGCAGCAACTTTTCTCTGTGTTGCTTCAGTCCAGCAACAGCATCACAAACTCCTACGTGCACCTGGACAATGCGAAGTCACTGTACGATCCAGTGCAACACAGGCCACATCAGTAAAGTAGATTCTTTCTGCTGCTTAACCAACCCCAATTATTTCTGCCAGAACAACATTTATCAGCAGCAGCAGTACACCGTCTGGCACAAAACCACGGAGGCCTAAACACGCAGTTTGGGAACCTTAATGAATTCAGCAGAAATTCTGAATCTATTAGCTCTGTATTCCGCCCAAAATCGGCACTCTGAAGGACTTCATGCAACATGGAGGACAATAATCAAATATTGCAAAAAGAGTGTGTTTACTACCATCGTCTTTCGGTGTAAAAATTACTTTGAGGCTTGTCATTACAGCCCAGTAGCATCGCAATAACTTCAGAAGCAGCTTTAAATCATACCGCTTAATTTATTTTTGCCCGCTTGTTCTTCTTCTTTCATTTTTTTCCTTTTTATTTCTAGGAGTTCTGCATCAAACTTCACTTTCCAGTTTAGGAAATTCTCAATGGTAACCGGAGTGCCATGAAAACGTTGCTGAAAGAACAGAAAAGGCGGCTGCAAACACAACTTACAAAGTACTCTCTTAATGACTTCGATCACAACACTCCAGCAGCACTGCTGGCTGTGAAGGACTGCGAGAAGTTAATCCTAACCCTGAGAATATACAAAGAACACATTCTTACTGGTTTTTGTCTGGGGACTCTCCCTTCAGAGTGCTGTACTGAGCTGGAAATTCTTATGGAAAAACCCTGCATACTACTTTTGGACCTACAGTGTGACAGGCAGCAACACGCCACTAATACAGGTCATCCGTAAGTAGGCAGCACTTACCAACTCCTGAGTGCAATCCACACTGAAATATTTTCCACTAAATACATTAACCCATCTATCTTGTTGAGTCAGCAAAAAAAGGATTCTTTTTTACCAGTTATTTTTCTGCCATTTTCAGAAATACCAAACCTCCAAGTCCCATCACCCTCTAGCTTTTTCTGGGGAAGAAAGTGAAGACTCAGTAGTCAGACTTACCCCAGCACATTCCATGAATGGAAAAGCTATTCCGCTGGTAGAAAGGACACGTGCAGGGAGGACAAACCAGTCTTGAAGACTGGTCCCACTACTTCCACCCTACCCACTCAGTCTACCAAGGAAGAGAGACTTCCTCAGACCATGCAGCCTGCGTGCAGCAGGCCATATTCCATATTCCAGCCTTTTTTCTGAAGCATCCCTCTTGCCTCTTCAAGAAAAAAAATGGTTACAGCAACTTTGGTTTTGTTTGGGAAAAACCTTTGCCCCCCACCTTAGGAAATAATGTTAGAAGGGATAGTGAACATGTCCCTGAAAAGACTGCTTTAGAAAACGGGGGAGGAGGGTGGTGGAATCACCCCAGTGCACTAAAGAATCTTCTAGTCTCTAAATTTTAATTGTATCACCTTCAGGATATATGTTCCTCTCCCACTGCAACCAAGAATTACTACTGCATCAAACCACCCACACATTTAAGAAGAGCAGGACATTTTCAGTCAAAACCATTATTTTACATACTTTTTCTTCTTCTTCTGCTTCTCTTTCTTTCTGTTTCTTTTCCTCTTCTCTTCGTGTTTTTATTTGATCCACTATTTCATTTAATTTCTCCTGCACTGCTGAGACTAGAGTGAAGATCATCACCATTCCTAAATTTTCTTCTGCCTACAAAACAAAGAAGGAAATTCAAACAGAAGGAGGACCTCAAACCTTCAGCAGCTGAATGCACAAGTACGTTTAGAAATCAGTACGCACTCTGCACCAGTCTCAAAAGCTCACTGTAAACTGAAGTCAACTGGCCAGTTAATCCAGTTAGTTACCCCTAAAAGGGTGCCCAGCAAAACACCAATGATGAACAGCTGTGTTCAGGTTATCAACATACTGCAGACATCTGGAAGGCTTTTTCATGAATTAGAAAAACCCTATAGCAGGAATACAACTCCAAGAATTGAATATAATAAATCATAAGAGACAAGAGTCCCTCAGAACTTCTCCTCTCCTGAAACAGTTTACTCCTTAAACCCACTACATGCCCCTTTGAAGTGGGACAGTTTCCCAGGAAAGAAACCAAAAACATCAGATGGTGGAAGGAGGGTTATATGAAGTAAAGTGACAACAATTCCTATGGAACATAGTATGGCAATTTTAAGGTAGGGAAGGCTTGTCAAGAATTCCCGAAACCAAAGAAGTGTTTCCTTCTCATTCCTTCACAGTGGACTCTCACTGATCCCGAAAGTTGAAGAGATTCCCCCACACACCCTACCAAATAGTTATGTTATTAAGAAGAATCAAGAATCAATATCGCATTTTTTAATCTTTCCAAATAAAGTTGAAGTGACTTATTTCCGCAAATGCTACATATACAGGTGAACAAACTCACCTTAAGCTAGAACTGCAAGAGAGGGGAAGCCCTAGAGCACTTCCACTTCATTACTGTATCTGTGCACACTGCATTAGCCCTGTATTTTACCTCATTGATGTAATTTACCTCAGTAATGTCATTTACCAAACTCAAAAATCAGACTTAGTTTCTACCGTATGGAATATGTTCCAAACCAGTAGCCCAGTAGCATATACCTCAGAGAACAACTGACTTGAGAAAGAGATTCTGGCTGAAGTGTGAAGTGATATCAAGCTGAATTGAGGTAAGTCCATTTTCACAGAATCACAGAATGGTTTGGGTTGGAAGGGACCTTAAAGACCATCTAGTTCCAACCCCTCTGCCATGGGCAGGGACACCTCCCACTAGACCAGGTTGCTCAAAGCTTCATCCATTTTCCTTACCTGTTGTTCTAGTAGTTTTAGTATGTCCATGACATCATTATCATCAAGATTCTCCTGTGAGACTATTTCATAAAGTGGAGTTTCATCAGGATATTTTTCTCTATAGGTAAATTTAAGGGTTGTTTGGACAGCTACAAGGTAAAAAAAAAAAGAAAATATTCTTACGGCGATAACTTTATAAAACTATACTATAAAAACTATACTGTAACTGTACATTTTTCTATTGCATTAGCAATTTAAAACTGAAGAAGACAGCACCAGTTTCTGCCTTCTGGTAGGGTAACCCAGAACAGCAGCTCTCAAACCTGCTTGGCAAGCCCATGCAACCACTGATACCCAACAAATACAGAGGGACTTGGGACCCACAGCTCTTTGCCCTGAAACCGTTCCCCAAGGGCTGCATATTCGCAGTACAGACTCAGCTCTCCCATGTGGCTGGTATACAGACAGTTGCTAGGAAAAACAACCCCAAAAAATCACCTCACAACATGGCTGTAAACTACTCAAGGATGATGAAAAGCCAATACTTTTTCCAGCTACGCTGCAAAACATCTGAGATGCAGCACATCAAAAGTAGCCCTAGTTGAGGGAGCACCTTTCTGTAAGCTAAACACAGAACACCAGAATCCCTGAGCTATGTTTTCTGAGGAATGACTGCGGGATCAGGCCCCTAAGAGGACTTCAGTGGAGGTATACCTAGTTGTTCGTGACAAAAAATCAGGCTTATGCAGAAACTACTCCCATAAACGTTTAAGACATGATTAACTTACTTTCATCATTTTCTCCCGCTTCAGATGTCACAGTGATTGTGAAAGTCGTCGGCTTTTCTGACAATACTGTTCAAAGAAAAAAAACACAGACAGACAGATTACTTAAAATCAGACAACTACTTCTTCACATCATTAAAACTTAACTTCTCAAGAACTAATGAAGCAAGGAAGCTCCTGATACAGTGAGTTAAGGGCCATTTTCCCTGTTAATAAAAACTTTTCAATTAACAGCTATTTTCCATATGACATGATGTTTGGAGAGTGTGGTGGGCCGACTCTGGCTGGACATGAGGTGCTCACCAAAACTGCTCTATCACTCCGCTCTTCAGTTGGGCAGGGTAGGGAAAAATACTATGAAAGGCTTGTGAGTCAAGACAAGGACAGGGAGAAATCACCCACCAACTACCATCATGGGCAAAACAGACTCAACTTGGGGAAAATAATTTATTACCAATCAGAGTAGGATAATGAGAAATAAATAATAACCCTTAAAACACCTTCCTGACACCCGTTCCTGCATCCCAGGCTTGGCTTTGATTTCTCTACCTCCTCCCCACCACCAGTACAAGGGGATGGGGAATGGGGATTGTGGTCAGTCCACCACATGCTGTCTCTGCCACTCCCTCCTCATCAGGGGGAAGATCTTCACACTCTGCCCCTGCTCCAGGTCCCTCCCACAGGCTGCAGTTCTTCACAAACTGCTCCAGCATGGGTCCCTCCCATGGGGTGCAGTCCTTCAGGAGCAGCTTGCTCCAGTGTACATCCCCTGTGGGGTCACAAGTCCTGCCAGCAAACCTGCTTCAGCCCGGGCTCCTCTCTCCACATGGCCACAGGTCCTGCCCGGAGTCTGCTCCAGCACAGGTTTCCCATGGT